TTGGAAGATAGGCCTCGGTTTTTGAGCGGCATTGGAAAAATTTATTTTGACAAATTTTGGGTTTTAACGGCTTAATTAATTGGATAAATTGAGTTGGATGCGGAATTTAGTGGGAGCTTCAAATATTAATTGCGCTTATTTTCATAACCGGTAAAAACAACTTTGACTAGTTTTAATTAGGCGTGTTAATCGAATTAACCACCTAGATTAGTTACTAGTGAGGGAATGTGTTTTATGCATTGTTACTTGTTTATCGTTGTAAAATGCATGGGCCATTCACAAATAGTGAATGGATGAATGGAATGTATATTTTCTCAGAGGTTTTATGAAATGGCAACTAGTGGGGCCCGATTAGGATAGAAAATACGGACTATGATCCGTGATGTATTTTTGTAAAGCTAACTACGGTCTGCGAACCGTTGAGTATTTTTGTACCTTAATATTTAGATTAGTCCTAATCGTAGATACTAGTAGTTGCATTTATTTTGGTCAAGTCTTGGAACACGAAGCCATGAAGTTGAAAATGAAGACCTTTTGAAGATTTGAAGATCTCAAGGGGTCTTGCTAGTTGCCAAATGCATCTCTATTTATGTTTTTTGATATATATATGTTTACGTATATGAATTATATGTTAGATGCACGTTTAGGATTTTTAATGTTATGATGATTAATTAAGTTCACTTAAATCAACCAACATAGAAACCCTAGGTCCCTAAATATTGAGTAAAACTTGTCATTCCAAAACAACACATACTAACCGAACGAGGGTAGTGGTGGGCTACGCCATAGCGAGGCATCACTAGTTCTCCAAGGAATGTAAGGCATATCGGGTATGCAAGTTGGTTTTGGTTGTACTCAATGATATGAGTGATGGAGTCCTAACATGTCGTGGCAAAGTGGATAAATTATTGAGAGCGCATTAGATTCGACAATTTATTCAACCAAGAGTGGCTTAGAGCCATTAGCAAAGCGTTGCTTACCTTAGGAGATTGAGTGTTAAGATAAGCCAAAGCATGCTTAACCACTCTTTGTTTCTTTAGATCTTGGAATTGACTTATTCTCGCCAAACTAGACAATTTTAATGCGTGAATAAGACGTTAAATAAGATTTAAAATTTGCATGAATACCTTTAAATTTTCAAACTTATTATGTTATTTACTTGATAAATGGTTATACTTTGCACTTATATTTGTAGAATTCCAAATCAAACTGTATTGCTTTCCATGATTGGCAAAGGAAAACTTTGAGAATGGTTCTCAAAGAAAAGAAAACCATTTCTAAAATACAATTCTCATAAATGACTTTTATAACAAAGTCCAAAAGGACAGTTGGACATAATGTATTTAAAATACTAGGTAGTTTTGATAAAACATGAAGTATTGGGTTACAAACTCAAATTGTCAATATTGAAAACCAATATATCTTTTCGCTTAATACATAGATGAGTAGGTCTCATTGATGTACGTGAATTAAAGGAAAAGATGGAACTATGTTTTACGGCGCATTAGATGCTTAATTATGCCTAACAAAGTATAAAAGTCAAAGACTCTTAAAGAAATGGTTCTTAAACGATTATGAAATAAAGTATGATAAGAAATATAGGAAACGAGGAACGAAGAAAAGGAATAAGATTCTACTTCAACCCATGAGTTCATACTATTGTAGTTAACTTAGCATTTCGTTATCTTCACAAGTATTGGATACTGCTTGAGTGTTCCACTTTGAAAGTGACCTCAAACTATTGAAGATAAGCTAAGTTATCGACTTACAAGCTAAGAATGAAGCAAGTGGTGCTACATCAGTCGTAAGGACGTATGCTTTGTTTAAAGACCTTTAAGCTAAGGCTGGAACAAATAAATGGTTATTGTATTCCATAATCAGCAATTGAACCGTTTACACACGGAAAGACTCACATTCAAAGCAATGAGTAATAATTGCAAATTTTTAATTTTTTTTTTTTTTTTTTTTTTTATAAATAGAGATTTTATTACCAAAAGAAAAGAGTTACAACTTACAAAATATAAGTAATAACAAACACCAAACACCAAAAGACCTTAAACAACAGGCCAAACAACCACCAAAAACAGTTCCAGTAACTATCCTAGCCACCTTCTAGGAAGGGTTCTAGAGAGAAACAGGAACGAACTGGACTCAAGAATCCCAGCCACCTTCTAGGAAGGGTTCTAGAAAACCAGGACCAGACAAACCAAAAGCAAAGCAAACAGCAGGAAAACAGCCTGCAACCACAAGACAGAAACAAGCAACAGAACTGCAAACTTATAAAAAGGACTCAAACCTCCCCCTAGACTAAGCTGATGAAACAGCAGGACTAGACAAAAGAGGTGGAACAAAACTGCACAACAGTTTACAGACCTGGAAAGCAACAAAAACAATCCAAAAACACAGGCTGACAGAGAACGAACCTAGAAAATCACAGGAAAAGTAATTTCCTATCAGCATCGCTGCATCTAACAGCCACTCTATACACAATATCCTTAAGCACCAAATTTGCAGGAAGACAGGTGCCATTGAACATCATATTGTTCCTTTGAAGCCAAATACTATGAATAGCTTCAGCAAAACACATAATATAGATTATGCCCTTGCTGCTAGATCTTCTAGAGTTCTTGAGAAGCCATTGCTGTTCATTTTGAAAATCTTGAGCTGGCCTCTGAATCTTCAATAAAGTAAGAATTTGTTCCCAAATATCTTTAGAGTAAGGACACAAAAAGAACAAATGAGAGACACATTCACTGCTATTCGACAAAAGAAGCAAGTAGGATCACAGGTAATATTCCATTGAAGCAATCTATCTTTAGTAACCAGTCTGTTCATCAAGGTTAGCTAAGTAATAAAAATACTCTTAGGGGAAGTAGAATTATTACAGGTAATTCTTTTCCAGCTCACTTTAAGGGCTTTAGGTCTAATCTGGTGATAGATTTAGCAATACTCACCTTCCCAGCATGCATAACACTAGCCCAGCCACCAACACTATACATAATATTCCTACAACTCAAGATTTTCTTCAATACCCATGTGCATTTGTTGGGAATAGGAGCAGACCACAAATCCTTATTGTTAAAATAGTATATATGAAACCATTTGACCCACAAATTATCTGATTTATGAGCTAAATCCCAAAGGATTTTGCATATGGAAGCCTTATTCCAATCACTAAGAAGAGTAATATTCCATCCACCACAAACTTTAGGAAGAGCCATATGAGCCCAGGAGACAGGAGCTTTCTTAGAATAAGTGCTTTTACCAGTCTAAAGAAGAACCCTAAATCTAGATTCAATTTCTCTAAGAATCTTCTTTGGTAAGATAAAAATCTGAGCCCAATAAGCCTAAATACTAAAGAGAACACTCTTAATAAGCTGAAGCCTACCAGCATAGGAAAGATGTCTTGTAGTCCGGCTTTCAATTCTAGAAGTAACCTTTTTAATTAAAGGCCTACATTGACTAATAGTCAGCTTCATAGAAGATAAAGGAACACCAAGATACTTAAAAGGAAGGTTGCCTCTACTCATACCCGGAATATCCAGTAAAATAGCTTTCTCACTTTCAGCAATTCCACCAAAGAAAACTTCACTTTTGCTGAGGTTAGCAGATAAACATGAGGCAATATAGAACTTCTGAAAAGTCCCTAAAAGGAGCTAAACAGATATGACATCTTCCCTAGTAAAAAGGAGCAAATCATCTGCAAACATCATATGGGTAATACCCAACTTTTCACATCTGGGATGATAATTAAAATTAGGAGCCTGAGCCATTTCAACCAAACATCTAGAGAGGTATTCCATACACAAAGCAAAGAGAAAAGGAGACATGGGGTCACCTTGTCTTAAACCTTTCTGAGCAGGGAAAGGCTTGCAAGGGAAGCCATTCACCATAATAGAATAGGAGACAAAAGAGACACAAGCCATGATCCAGTCAACCACTTTGTTAAGAAAACCAGTCTCCTCCAAGACAGCCTTTAAAAATCTCTGTTCCACTGAATCATAAGCTTTCCTCAAATCAATCTTAAGCATACACCTATGATTAATAAACTTATGAGAATAACCTTTGATAAGTTCAGCGGCCAGCAGAATGTTATCACCAATGTGCTTCCCAGAATGAGTAGGGCTGCTGAACTTTAGGAACCAATGCTATAGGCCTATATTCCTTAACATAGGAGGGATGCTGAACTTTAGGAACTAAGGTGACAGTGGTGCAACTCCACTATTTAGCAATGTTGCTAGAAGAAAAGAATTGAGTAACAATAGCATAAATGTCATTTTTAATAAGGTGCCAAGCTTGTTTGAAGAAAACAGCATTGAAACCATCAATGCCAGGAGCCTTATCTTTACCAATACTAGCTAGAGCAAAGTCGATTTCAGAATGAGTAACATCAACATCTAGAATCTCATTAGAGTTCCTGTCAAGTTGCTTCCCTAATCTCATAGTATGAATGTCAACAGCAGACAGGGAGGCAGCCCTAGTACCCAGAAGAGCTTTATAGAAACCCACAATTTCATTTTCAATTAGAGCAGGGTCTTTTAAAAGAACATTACACTAGTAGAAAAAACATTATGGAAAGCGGTTCAAACCCCCAAAAGGGAAGCGGTTCTGAACCGCATGGGTTTAGGGGGCTTCCCAATTGCCATGTAAATGGCAAGCGGTTCAGAACCGTTTCCCATTTGGGGGGAATGGAAAGCGGTTTGGCGCCAAAACCGCTTGCCATTTGCACTGCACATAACATAATTTCCAGTGCAAATGGCAAACGGTTTTGGCGCTAAACCGCTTCCCTTTGTAATTTTTTTTATATATATATAATAATTAATAATAATATTACTAGTGACCTGTTTTGATATGCACATTAATCTGTAATTTTAAAAATTATTATTATTATTAATATTACTATTAATTAATATTAATAATTAAAAATAATTAATTAAAAATATTACAAATTTTGGAATAATAATAATTCACTAACAATAAAATGCATAATAATAATAACATATATAAAACTCATAAATAATGTATAGTACTAATTACAAATAAGTAATATAATGTACATATGGATTTAATAAAAATAAAAAAGATATAGTAACTAAATATTAATTGTTCATAAATAAAAAAAAAAAAAAAATTCAATCTCATTCATTATCTAACTAATAAATATATATTATATATTCTACCTAGATGCCATCAAATATCAGAAAAAAAAGCCCACATGTCGCGAATTTCATCAACTCCTTCCTTTGTCAAAGGGCCTTCCCTTTGAATCTTACAAACCTTTGAAAAGAAAAAAATACCAAACATTAAACATAATCATTCATATATTACATAAAATTCAAACTAATAATTTAAAAATAATAATGTATATATGTTAAATATTTCAAACATCATTCTAACTAGCCCGATTTAGCATTGTACTAAGTTTTAGGACGGCTTTTACCAAAAATCGCCTATTTCACTACTACTTTGCCCGTTTTCTACATTTCTTATCTAATGAGCTATTTATCTATCATAACATTTCAATTAAAACTAGTCTTAGGTGTCTAATATTTGAAATCATAGCAAATTAGCATTCTACTAAGTTTTAGGACGGCTTTCACCCGAAATCGCCTATTTCATTACTACTTAGCCCGTTTTCTACATTTCTTATCTAATGAGCAATTTATCTATCATAACATGTCAATTACAACTAGTCTTAGGTGTCTAATGTTTGAAATCATAGCAACTTAGCATTCTACTAAGTTTTAGGACGGCTTTTACCCGAAATCGCCTATTTAACTACTACTTTGCCCGTTTTTTACATTTCTTATCTAATGAGCTATTTATCTATCATAACATGTAAATTACAACTAGTATTAGGTGTCTAATGTTTGAAATCATAGCAAATTAGCATTCTACTAAGTTTTAGGACGGCTTTTACCTGAAATCGCCTATTTCACCACTACTTTGCCCGTTTTCTAAATTTCTTATCTAATGAGATATTTATCTATCATAACATGTCAATTACAACTAGTCTTAGGTGTCTAACGTTTAAAATCATAGCAAATTAGCATTCTACTAAGTTTTAGGACGGCTTTTACCCGAAATCGCCTATTTCACTACTACTTTGCCCGTTTTTTACATTTCTTATCTAATGAGCTATTTGTCTATCATAACATGTCAATTACAACTAGTCTTAGGTTTCTAATGTTTGAAATCATAGCAAATTAGCATTCTACTAAGTTTTAGGACGGCTTTTACCCGAAATCGCCTATTTCACCAGTATTTTGCCCATTTTCTACATTTCTTATCTAATGAGCTATTTATCTATCATAACATTTCAATTACAACTATTCTTAGGTGTCTAATGTTTGAAATCATTGAAAATTAGCATTCTACTAAGTTTTAGGACGGCTTTTACCCGAAATCGCCTATTTCACTACTACTTTGCCCGTTTTCTACATTTCTTATCTAATGAGCTATTTATCTATCATAACATGTCAATTAAAAATAGTCTTAGGTGTCTAATGTTTGAAATCATAGCAACTTAGCATTCTACTAAGTTTTAGGACGGCTTTTACCCGAAATCGCCTATTTCACCACTACTTTGCCCGTTTTCTACATTTCTTATCTAATGAGCTATTTATCTATCATAACATGTCAATTACAACTATTATTAGGTGTCTAATGTTTGAAATCGTAGCAAATTAGCATTCTAATAAGTTTTAGGACGGCTTTTACCAAAAATCGCCTATTTCACTACTACTTTGCCCGTTTTTTACATTTTTTTCCGTTTGGAATTTTTTTCACAAACATTATTGCCCATAATACAATAACAATGCAAGTACGCAAAAATTACACAAAATTGCATGAGCGGCTCGGTTCTTGAACGTCTGCTGCACCTGCCTTAGGTACTGCCTGGGCTGCTGCAGCAGCTGCCTTGGCATATGCCTGGTGGCTGCTGCAGCTGCCTGTGCAGCTGCGTGGTGGCTGCTGCAGCTGCCGGTGCTTCTCCCTGGTGGATGCTGCAGCTGCCTGTGTAGCTCCTAGGCTGTTGCTGCAGTGGCCTGTGCAGCGGCCTGGCTGATGCTGCAGCTGCCAGGTGGCTGCTGCGGCTGCCTGTGCAGCTGCGTGGGCTGCTGCAGCTGCTGCCCGGGCTACTGCCTAGGCTGCTGCTGTGGCTGCCTGGCAGCTGTTGCAATTTGGTGGCTGCCTGCTTGCAGCTGCCTGGCATAACCAAAGGCAGTTGCCTCGGGTGCTTACTTTCCCATTTTCTGCATTTTGTATCAAATGACCTAATGGCTTTAGAGAAGACCCATATTAAGTAGTCTTGGGTGTCTGAGGTCTGTAAGCGCATCAGAAGAAGGCTTTACTAAGTATTTGGACGGCTCATACCCAAAATTGCCTATTTGACTTCTACTTTGCCTGATTTCTACATTTCTTATCTAATGAGCTATTTTTTTATCATAACATGTCAATTATAACTAGTCTAATGTTTGAAATCATAGCAAATTAGCATTCAACTAAGTTTTTGGAAGGCTTATACCCAAAATCGCCTATTTGACTTCTACTTTGCCCGATTTCTACATTTCTTATCTAATGAGCTATTTCTTTATCATAAAATGTCAATTATAACTAGTCTTAAGTGTGTAATGTTTGAAATCATAGCAAATTAGCATTCAACTAAGTTTTAGGACGACGTATACCCAAAATCGCCTATTTGACTTCTACTTTGCACGATTTCTACATTTCTTATCTAATGAGCTATTTCTTTATCATAACATGTCAATTATAACTAGTCTTATGTGTCTAATGTTTGAAATCATAGCAAATTAGCATTCAACTAAGTTTTAGGACGACTTATACCCAAAATCGCCTATTTGACTTCTACTTTGCCCGATTTCTACATTTCTTATCTAATGAGTTATTTCTTTATCATAACATGTCAACTATAACTAGTCTTAGGTGTGTAATGTTTGAAATTATAGCAAATTAGCATTCAACTAAGTTTTAGGACGGCTTATACCCAAAATCGCCTATTTGACTTCTTCCTGGCTGATTTCTACATTTCTTATCTAATGAGCTATTTCTTTATCATAACATGTCAATTATAACTAGTCTTAGGTGTCTAATGTTTGGAATCATAGCAAATTATCATTATAATTAGTTTTAGGACGGCTTTTACCCGAAATCGAAGCGGAAAAAAGTAAAAACAAGTACCTCCTCAATGTGTTGGGCTTTAGTGCACCTATTGACTATGTCATGCATAAACCTCATCACGTAGAGGGCACAGTCAACGCCGTTGTCTTGTCGCGCACATTAACATGACACAAAGTTAAAATAGTCATGCATAGCCATAACTCAAGGCAATTTTATTAAATAAATCAATATATCAAGGCTTTACCTTCGCATATTTCCATGTGGGACCCGCAACCGAACGACAATTCAAATTCTTCATAACACTTCAAAAAAATAAAAAACAAATGATTTAGGAACATAGCCACTCAATCACTTAGGTGATGATACAAAACAATATATAGGAATCGGTATGTACCTATTCAATAGGTTATTCACTAGCAACTTCCTTGGTAGCCATATACGAGCTGAGTCAAAGTAGTAGATTGTGTTATTGGAAACACAAATCACCATAAGGCTTCAATGTAGACTATATGTATATTAAAGCAAATATCAATCCATTAATTGTTATGCGTCAACATCTATACTTAACAAACAAATTAAGAGTGACATATTTAAACTTACTCCTCAAAACAAGGGGCTAATAAGAACTTGTTTCCCGCACGCATTGATTCTCTAATACCCCGCTCAAGGTAATCTATCACATCACAAGGGTTATGCAAGCATTTGGTTACGGAGGTCTGCTCGGGGCATAACCACCCAACTGCTGCTTCACCATCGGGTTTACTAGCAAGGAGCTCCTGTAGTGACCTTCAAGAAAGTAATGTGTGCAAGTAATTACTAGTTGCATTGTTTTGGTACGAAAATATCAAAAATAAAATATGTTTAGAAATAGTCTCGTAAATTTACGTCATGAAAGTTTGAATGATGGAAATTTTAAGCATGGAACCGGTTAGAAATTCCGTCACATCCTCTCTAGAAATGTATGCGAGCGCATCCTCATCATAGTGGAACAATGCCTTAGGCAAGTTCACTGGAATGTGTGTACCCGTAGCAACTCAGTAACACGGTTGTGAAGAAAAGTACATGCTTTCAAAAACGACCTAAGGACATTGGCTTGTACGAGTGGAGTACATGAAGCTCTCGAACTCTTCTTCGACATTTGTCCTTGTTCCATCTTCGGAGGACCTTCTTCCTTGGATTTTGGCTTCTCCACCTTCTTCCTTTTAGCGGACTGAATTTCCATAGTAATCTAGTAGCATAAAAGAACATGGTCATTGCACAAAGCACATGGTAATCTAGTTACATACAAGTATTTACATACAAGTAGTGTTTACTTACCCCTCCTACCAACCTCAACCGATCACGTGACCATTGCACAAAGCTCCTGGTCGCGTCACACAGCTTAAAAAAATCATATTCCTCTCTAGGCACCGGTAGTGGTAAGTCCTCAAACCCAGCAACTATAGAATCGATCCCGGCCGAGATGTAATGGGTGCTAGTATTAAACTTAAAATGGACCTTGTCAAAAGGTTGTGCACTACCATACCCCACCAACTGCAACTGTCCACCGGTGTTTTCCCCGGGGTGAAGAAGCCCACAAGGCGTCTCTTCCAACATATTTGGTTAGGAGTTAGGACATAAGTTAAGAAATAACAAACGAAAGCCTAACATAAGAAAAGCTAATTACGTAGTGAAGTTCACCTTAACATCTGGGAAAGGTTCAGGCATCGGATTTGCTCTCTTCAGTGACTCTGCATCCATAGGACTAGGATCCTGCAAAAGTAAAATAATTAAACATGCAAACGACCTCATTAGACAAACTTCTTATGACGTAATTCGTAGTTGTACTAAAATTACCTCTCTCTCAACTACTGGATCGTCCTCGGGGCCTCCTGGGTGACTACATGAGTCTACTGGGGTACTCGAGGGAAATGGCAAAGGCGGAAAGTTCATGTGCTTCAGAATGGCATTGAATTGACTTTGCATCTGTTCTTGCAGCTCCGCGCGTATCTCCGCCTTAATTGATTCCTTTTCCTTCTCATCAATCTGATGTGGCGAATTAACACTTGATCTGCTTTTTGCTGATTTGGTGTATTCTGAACCCATCACCTTCTTCCACCCTAGTTGTTTCCCGCCAAAACCAATTACTGGCCAGGGTGGTATGGTTTTCCCAAAGCTAAGTGAAAGGATCATGCTCGATGCTTGGAGTCAGCTTGCCTTCAATCACTTCCGAAGTATGCTCGAGCTTTAACAACACAAAAATTTATCAGATCTAAGTACAATGTACTTGACAAGGAAATATAATTAATAAGTAGAAAAATTTGCTTACAAGTGCATCTGCTACTACTTTCTTATCCGGTTGCATGACATACTTGTCGGTTTCCTTGTCCATCCCATGCATAGCACACCACCAGTCAATTGCACGATTAACCAAAGTTGTGACCGTGGAAGAAAGTGGTTTATCAGCTGATGACATTATGGATTTGGGGTATAGACCCGCTTTGACCCACTTTGGTCTTGACTCCGCAAAGGTCTTACAACCCATATGATGGCTATACAATTTCTTTCCGGCATTGATTCTAGCTTGTTCGCTTTTTTCCTACACATTCAAAAATATATGTTAGCATCATTCATTGTAAGAAACTAAATGTGAGTAGCCGACTCTATTGATAAATAAAAACATACAAGTGCGGTCCTAGTGGAAGACTTTTCCACAAACTTCTCCCAATCATCCACAAAATTTTAATTAGATTAAAAAATCAAATTATGTAATTATCTTATAATCAATCAAAATAACCTTTATTGGAATTGCTCAATATCCCCTTAAAATCAGTTTTTCAATATTATCCAAAATAAATAAAATCAGAATTTTTTTTTTTATTTATTTTTATCAAAAAAAAAAATTTAAATGAAAAACAGGGCTGCCGTGACTGAGCTGCTGACTAGCCACGTCACAGTCGCTGCAGCAGCCAGGCCGGAGCCCAGCCACCGCAGCAGCTGGCCGCCGCACCCAGGCAACCGCCCAGCCACAGCAGCGCTGGCTGGCGCACCAGGCAGCAGCCCAGCACGCCAACTAGCTCGAGAAGAGCACAGCACGCCAGTTTCCCAGCTCTGCTCCTGCCCACACCGTCCCCTGCTGCCCTCCGCCCCTAACGACCACCGGAGCAGCCACCGTGGCCCACCATTAGGTGGTTCTGCCACCCTGCCGTGGCTGCTCCTCTTCAATCACTTTAATTTTTTTTTAGTTAAATTAATTTCACAACTTTTGCAAAATAATTAATTTTGGTGATCTAATTATAATTAAACACAAACTCCTTTATGTATAATTTCAGAAAAAATTAAAATCTCCATTTTAATTAATTTAGGGCTTTTCATATAAAATAATTCTGAATTCATATAAAACCAATTTTTACATGAATTAATTAATCATATCTAAACAATTTTAAATATGAAAAATAGATTATATTATATAAATTTAACAATTTAAAATCGAAAATTAGGGTTCATAACCACCAAATTCGAAATTTTTGGGGCTTTAGGGTTCTTAACAAAATATGGTTAGAGGCTATTGAGCAATTAAATTCACAATTTAATCAATTATTCCAATCAATTAAAATCGTATTCTAATAAGGTTATTTTAATCCATAATTCAATTCCTCCCCTTAATCAAATTAAAATTAGCTTAATTCACACATCAAAATAATCATATTATTGTGACCAGTAAATTATATGCAAGGGGCTAACTGATACCACTGTAGGGTTTTAGGTACTCTAAGCGGAATTTCATGAATCACATTCATACGCACCTAAACAAGATCTCATGCATATACAAATAAAGATCACATAATAGTTTAGAATTAACCTTTGAAGCGTGAATCCTCTTAGCAATCTTCTTCTCTACCGGAGATAAAGAGCCTCAACTGCAACTCCTCTATTTGGTCCACCGGATTGAATCAACACTCCACCAATGCTAGTTGGACGGGAAAAACCTTTCACCTTTCTTGGAGTTAAGAACCAATTTTAGAAAGAAAATATTAAGAGAAAACTTACGTTGTTTTTCAGAAAAACTGAATGTTGTATATTTTAATTATCCTTAACTAATATATAATCATATTATTATTAATTAGGTTAGGGTTTTCTCTCCCCTTTCCCTTTTTGGCCGGTCACCCTAAGGCCCACTTTGGGCTTCGGGTTTCTTTATTGATCAAATCCTAATGTGTGACCTTGTAGGATCTGTTTAGGCGGGCTTCGGGTTTGTTACTTACTAACCCAAATCTCTATAGCATTCTCTAGAAAGACATATAAACGACCCAAATAAACGATTTACTATCTCCATAATACGATCCGTAATTATATGAAGTAATTGCACTAAAGTCGAGGACACATTTCCTTCAATTGGGTGATATTCTGTTTTACGGGAAAGATGATATAGAGTAGAAAATTGTGGAGGATAAATTATCTAGTATTCCTATTATTCTTGACGAAAATACAAAGATAACCATGATAATTTTCTTCTGTACAATTAATGGAGATCAAAAGATTTGAGAAACTTAATATTTTGGAGATGAAAATACTTTTTTTAAAAAAAAAAATTAAAATAGTTAATTTTTTTCATTTAAAATTTTTTATTGTCAAAGCAATAAATGAACAAGATTTATCCTTAAAATTTGAATGGTTGAGATTGAAAACAATTACTGTGGCTACATGTTTATTGTAGCCATTGAATACACTTTGTAAAATAAATAAATTAATTAAAAACTAAAAAAAAAAAAGCGATGGTGATAATTAATGTTTTTTAATCCAAAGTTATATTTTTAATCAAAATTATATTTTAGCTATTGGACAAAAGAATTCAAGGAAATCATAAATAATTAATTTAATTCAATATTAGGTTCATAGAGCATGACCTTAGCTTATTCATTTAAAATATACTCCTTAACATAGTAATATATATTTTATTACTAACACTTTTGGCTTTTACGCTATATATATTATACATTAATAATAATAATAATAATAAAACACCAAGCATTGTAACTACTTCAGAAGTTTAAATTAGCCTGATATTTGAAATGAAGGGGTACACAAACGGTATATCTCATTCCTAATACACTCCAAACTTAGTACATTAGTTATTCTTTTTTTTTTTTTTTTTTTTTTTGACAGGATAGTACACTAGTTATTCAACTACATACATATATATAAGCTAGAAATATAATATATCATGAACATTATAAAATGTACATAATCTAGTTAATTAAGTTAAGGTTTTTTTCTAATAGGAGCAACACTATTATCCTCATTAACCTTGGAAGAGTTCAAGTCCTCGGGCGAAACATGTTGCTGAGAGGTAGCCATAACAGAAGGGTTATAGGAGTACCAATGTGCCCAAAAGAGGTAATTGAGGAAGTTGAGGAAGCTAAGACCAGCCAATAACCAATAGAATAAATCCAACCTATCTTTATTAAGGTCATTCTCACTCAACCATCCCTTGTTAGTAGAGGATAAAGAGGAAGTAACCTTATTTATAAGGATAACCAAGACAGAGCTAAAGTAAAACCCGAAGGAGTAAGAACAATAAGTCATTGCTGTGAGAAAAGATTGCATCCCTTTTAAGGATTGCTTGTAGAAGAACTCAATAAGACCTACGGCAGTTAACATCTCGGACAACCCGAAAACGAGGAATTGTGGTGTGATGTAAAAGATGGAGAGGAGTTTTTGGTGGTGAACCATGGTGTCTCTTCTTTGTTTTTCCATGAGGGCAGCGGAGACCATCGAAAAGGTGGCGATGAAGAGGCCGGTCCCTATGCGTTGGAGAGGGGAGAGACCGGAGTCATGGCCAGTGAATTTACGCGTAAAAGGGACGAAGAATTTGTCGTAAAGAGGGACGAGGAAGAGGAGGAGAATGTAAGGGATGGCCTGGAGAGAAGCGGGTGGAATGCTGAAAGATTTGGTGAGTTTATTGTTCATTTGGCTTCCTTGTTGGACTGAAAATGTTTGTAGTTGAGCTAATATTGTGTTGAAAACTATTGTGCAAGCAAAGATTGGAAGTAATGATATTAAAATTTTCACTTGTTCTACTTGAGTAACTGTGCATAATCTCCATGCTCCTTCTGATTTGTAGTTTGATCCGTCTTCTACTTTGATGCATGCTTTGTCTAAGAATCTGATGAAATATACAATTTTTTCACAAATAAAGTTATTTAAACATATTGGTAACGAAAGATTTGATACAAAAAAAGATTAATTAAAACTTATTTGAGTAGGTACTCTTTTTTTCACTACCAACAAACTAACTATATTACAAATATATAAACCATTATATATACAATCAAATTGGTTGAATTAATAGGGACACAAGAGTATAATATTGAATAGAATATTAAAGTTAAACTATCTCGTTAGACACTTAAAAAAAATGTTTCGTATTATTTACCTAAAATTGGTATAAATCACCTTTTTTGTTCAATGTTTTTTAAAAAACCACCTTTTATGTTTTTTTATTTACTAAACCACCTTTTAAGTACCTAAATTCTTTGATTGTACCACCCTATTTCAAATTTTGATGAAAAATTTAACTGAGACGTCAAAGGGGCCCACAACTTGTGTCTTTCGCTCCTAAATCATGTAATTTTTTAACCCCAAAAACATTTGACCCTTCCCTCTATATAAATGCATGACTAAATTGAGTAAAACTCTTAAAAACCAAACCTAATTTTGCTAAAAAAATTAAATTGTAGTATTTGTTTATTCTCAAACCCTAAATTGAGGTTATAGAAGTGGTGGTTGAGATTGAAGGGAAGGTTTTGCTACAGTTGATGATTTGGAAGTGGATGGTTGAGATGCAATATGTTAGATTTGAAATAGAGTGGTGCAATAAAAAAATTTAGGTACTTAAAGGTGGTTTAGTAAATTAAAAAAAAAAAAGGTGGTTTTTTCAAAAAAGTTGAACAAAAAAGGTGATTTATACCAATTTTACCTATTATTTGACTAATTTTAGCATTAAACCTACATAAGAAACTAATGTGTTTATAATGAAAGAATGTAGGATTAACAAGTTATAGTTAATTATACATATTAGTTCTATATTTTTTTAAGTCATAATTATTGTTTGAACTTATAACGTCATTAGAGAGTAAAGGGAGACAAGTGAAGGTGGCTTTTAATTTCTATTATAAGCCAAGGTGTTATAGAATTTCCAAAAAAAAGTTTGTTGCCTTAACACAAAAGATACAACCCACAAAAACATTTGACATATTAAAGTTTTTGTTATTATTTGGGGTGGCAATAGTGATAAAGGTCTTTGACTTTCAAGCCCAAATTAGTGATACTAAAATATAGGTAGTCTTCACTAACTTTATCACGGAATAGTAATCAAATTAAACCATAATCATGACACATGTTTTTAACAAGATTTATCCCACAAGAAAAGCCAACTACAACAGCAATAAAAATAATAATAATAATAATAATAATAATAATAATAATAATACACAAAGGAAAGTACATACTCATTCATTCTCCTTTCATTTACATCATAGGGCCACTTTATGTGAAATCTTTTCGGGTTGATTGGTGCAAACAATAAGAGACACGTGGAGTACAAAAAATAAAAGTACATACGAAGTTTTCTAGCGAAAATAGTTTATAGAGAACAGCAATCAATATGCGCTTTTTCTGTCCATTCTTTTGTAATGGTACTAGTACTAGCCCTGAACAAGGTCGGGAATATGATGCATATATTATGAGATAGTGGTGATGATTTCAGAAGCAAGACAATACAGTGTAAACAGACCCTCAAAACAAGTGGAATTATTATTATATGGTCTCATAGTTTACACTTTACACATTACTCCTATCAACTGTAGCATGCACTTCCTTAGACTCATCTCTTAAGACTTTGTAACATAGTAATCATTATTATTAGATAGTGGGTGACTGGGTGCATAAGTAAAAAAAAGAAAAAAAAAATGAATGAAATAAAGCAAGTTTTGACTTGAGAAGAAAAGATAAGAATGAACATTTTTGTTGGATTGGATTACCTGAATCTTTCTGTATGAATGAGATTGTCAGATGCATTGGAACTGGTATAGTGATGAAGGTTGTTGGCATTAGTATTCCCATGAAGCACCTTTACATCTGATGGACAAACTTTCTTTCTTTTTAAAAATGCGGCCACAAATACCTGTATATATGAAGGGGAGTTAGGCAGGCAGATAGAAGGAAACAATCATACCTTATTAAGGTGGTGTAGGTTTTTTGGTTGACATTGAAAAAATAAAAACACGAAAATAGATTGTCGTAAGAAAATCACAAGTGGAGGACAAAAACACTTGCGTGGACCTGGTCCACAATAATATTATTGTGGACCCGAGGTCTATACACACGTAATTGACATTATATTAAATATAGTGACCATTATTTTTAACATATTAACCTTATTTTTAACATAGTAACCTTTATTAAAACTACTACAACGTTTAATAATATTGTGAACTTGAAATACGACGCTATTACCCTAATTTTATGATAGTGGCCTTTATTATTCATATTGATCAGTATATAAAATATTTCATTACAAAAATAACCACTTAGGCCTATATATTACCAAAATGATTTTTATTTCAACATAGTGACTTTTTTTAAAATTATAGTGACCTTTTTTTTTTGTTAATAAAACAACCATACTTTCTCTAATGTTAGTGGTCCACAATAAATTAGTGTGAACCAGGTCCATTTAAGAATTTGTAAGTGGAGGATACCACATCACATAAAATAAAAAGAAAGAGTGAGAGTGAGGTGATTAATTGTTTGGCAACTTACAATAATACTTAATCTGTTCATTTTCTTTTGACATGTTTTTTAAATTAATCATATGTTGGTTAACATACATGTTTCACTATATTAATATATCTAATCACGATGATAAGTAACAAACAATTCTTAAAATACGAGTATAAGTACATTTAATATGATTCTATATCTCCTATTGATATGTTATATCCTAATTATAAGTAACAAACATTGTCAAAATTAAACCTATACTACATATGTAAATTGTGTCAAATATAAAGATATGTCAATAAAAGAACAGAAAAAGTATCATTAATAATACAAACCATGTCTTCTGTTCATGAATGTTCCTATTTGCCAAAACATAGAATATTTGCCAACTAATTAAACAAATTTAATTAATGGACTATCCTAATACCTTTGAACCGTCAATAGAAAGTATATCAAAAGATCAATCAAGATATTAAACCTTGGTTAGTTCATAGACAATAATATAATACTCCGTTATTTATGATGGAGCCATTTCTTATATTGTTGTCCTACCGTTGCCGACAATAATGTGATCAAAATAAACTCAACTTGAATATAAATAATAGACTTAGAAATTTGTTTTAATTTATATGTAGACAACACTCATGTCATAGTATGCTCATTTAGTTAAATATTTATATAAGAAAAATCCGTTTAGCAACGACCTCTATCCTAGATACCAAGATCATCGGAAACTATATACCATTTTTTTTTTAAAAAAGAAAAAAAAAATTAAAATATACTACGTATTTAATAAAGCCTCAGATATATTTTACTAACGTCTTATTGTTTTAATTTATTATATTATAAAACTACTATGTTACAATTATAATGGAATATACCTATTGTAGCTTTAAATTCTTAATTATTGCCTACGCATAAACAATTCTCTACATGTATTACTTGGAGAGCTGATACACACAATCATTATATGTTGTCTCTACATACAAACCACTAGAAATTTGACACATCATTAAAAAGTGAAGAAAATTAGGAGTTAAATATAAATTGAATTCAAATGGAACATGGCCCCATTATTATAGCCAATAAAAACATGACAAAGTAAGGTTATACGTGGGAACCACACACAACAATTGTATAAACCACAATTATTAAGCAACCACATTGTCATTTAACCTTTTCGACCAACAACCAAGGATAAAGTATTAAAAAAAATAAATTAAAAACCTATAGTAATTAGTAGATTGGAGGCAGTATTAGCTTTGTGTAAAAAAAAAAAAAAAAAGTAGTATTAGCTTATCTATATTTTTGTAAAGTCAAATATTAAAGAAATACTACTATGTACTACGTACTAAGTAATATCCTTATTATTTGATGATAATATGCACTAGAAAATTTGAAAACAAAATATGTCAAAGGTCAAATTATTTTCCGTCAATGTTCTAATGATCGAAGTGATATAAAGGTAAAAAAGAAGTTTTGTGTCCACATATTTATATCTTTACCAATATTCCTATTACTAAATTCGCCACAAATTGTGTGCATCCTCGTCAACTAAAACGACATATTTGAACTATTATCACATGTAATATGAAATATGGAAAATGTTGTGGTTTTTGTTTGATTAGAAAAATGTTAGCCACCTTAGCCATATCCATTTCTTTTAATAAAATTATAAAATAACAAACATGTACTTTTTCATAGTATAACTAAATTAAAGGTTGTGTTTATTGGCTACAATCATTATAAATACCTATAACAAAATGCTATATGTGACTATTTCAAAAATATATAATGCGATAACAAGTGCAATATAATTTACAAATCCAAGATTAGGTACATATGCAAGAACAATTACTTTGATTTGTGCTTATCTATAAATCTAGCGACAATTATTATGTATAAAAGAAACCCATATTATTTTCTAAACCCAATAATTCACACATGTGCATTAATATTCTAAATAATTAGATTGATATTATGTATGACATTTATAATTAAATACTCTTCTGGCCCGTGCGATGCACGAGTTATTCATATAAAATTGTATTGATAGATAACTGAGGAAATATCAGTAAGTCATTATAGGGTATAATATGTAATCGGAAACATAATTAAAGAAATTAAAATTTGGAACTTTAATCGAAAAAGAGGCTTAAATAAAAGGTGGAAGGGCTAAAATTAAAGAGAGAATAGGAAAAAGGTTGAATTAAAGGGGAGAGATAAAGTGTGTATGAAAGATGAATTATAAGTTTAATGAAAGAATGAAAAAAAATGGTGTAATAAAAAAATTAATAGTGTAAGATGACATGTGGCACTATAGTTAGAGAAGTGTAATAGAATGGATGGAACATATGTCTTTTTTAGTTTCTTGGTTATAGTATTTAAATATTAAATATAGACAATTCTACATGAATAAAGTGATAGGTATATATTACTTGGTATGTGTTTCCGTGTTATGTCCCCCAATAAATCCACCACTAATTAACATGCATGCAAAAGTGCAAAAACACAAACGATGAACATGTACAAATATTAATACCTGAGCAATAGGAGTAAAAATGCTTCCACGAGGTCTCTTGTTCTTGTAAACAAGAGTGCCAGAAACCAAGCAAATTAACCCCATAGCCATGACAATGGCTGAGATACCAAACCCGATATCCATACCGGAATGTGTCTGGACCCAAACGAGGACGGTAAGGGCAATAAGCTCACCAACGGAGAACGCGAAGTAGGCTGCATTGAAATATGTCGAAAGCTGGGTAGACTGCTTGGAGTTGAACTGATCACCTCCATGAGCTATCATATTAGGCTTCACACATCCACTTCCTAATGCAACTAAGTAAAGTGCTACGAAAAATATTAAAGCCTGTATTCCCTTTGCTTCTTCGCAAATTTGTCCAGTGTTGTCTTGTGTTAGCATGTTGCACATTGCTGGCTTTAGTTGTGGTAGGTGTGCTTGTACTGATAGCAAGATGAACCCCTGGTTTTTTTAGCCAATATATCAAATTAATGAGGTCACTTATTATTTTTTTGAATTTTAAACGAGAAAACAATTTTATTATACGAGGGAGAAATACCGAAAATGACTTGGTTTGGTTGGAAGGAGTTAGGAAGAAAATGAAGTATATGGATTTGCACGAGGATGAGGCATGCATTGGATCATAAGGGATGGAGAAGAATAATTTTGTCAATGACTATATGGAATAATCACTTTTGTTCATATATGTAGCCGACACTGAGATTAGAGCTTTGATTAATTGATGATTGATTTGCAGCGTTTTAACTTTTTCATTTGTGAACCTATATTTTCAACCCTTCATACATTGCTTTAATTATATATAAATAAATTGGATATATAAAAAAGACAAATCTAATAAAATTTCAAATGATTATGGGTTTGTTCTTATACGATTGTTTTCAATTCAGATCAACTCTAATAAGTTCAATTCAATTCAGCTCTAATAAGTTCAATTAAGCTCTAATAAATTCAATTCAGTTTTCAATTCAGCTCAGCTCAGTCAATGAGAACAGACCCTATATTTTGTCTAACATACACTTCCTCCATATCTTTAGAGTTACAACACACATTTTATCACAATATTTAAGAAAATAATAGTGTAATTTTTATCATAAAATCTTCCCTTTATAGTGTGTTGCAATTATTGTGACATTTCCATTTTAGAAAAATGTTGCAACTATAAAGAAACGGAGAAAATAAATTTTATAGGCGTAGTCAAATGGAACATGTGAATACTAAATAGTGTAAATTTTCAAACACTGCATCAAAATGATAATAGAGTTTCACTAATTGATAAAGCCTACACATACAACATACAATGATTGTATGTGTATAAACTCTCTAAGATTTTACTTGGCGCCATCATAATGGAGACAAAAGAATGGTTTCCAAAAAAAAATAATGGAGACAAAAGAATTAGTACCCAAATAAATTCAATTTGATATTAAAGACGCTACATAAAAGTCTTAAATCTCAATTATAGTATTGCACTTTATATCATAACACTAAAAAAAATAAAAATAAAAATAAAAATAAATAATAAAAAAGAAATTAACAAGTTAGTTTTGTGGTTGTCTTGGAATGTCTTGGAAAAGCCTATGTAGGATAATAGGATATATATATATGCTTAGTACAGTTGTATCACTTTTTAGGTACATAATCTATATTAATTTATTGCGTCAAGGAGCAAACCCGAAAGTGGGGGCAACTTTGTCTAAAACTTTTTTTTTTTTTAATAGTGTAACCAGAAATTGATTAACACAAATACTTGTTGTATGTGGTCATGCACCAATAGTCAATGGTGTAGGCATGTAACCACTTCATTCATAAGAATATTAATTGAGTGATAAAAGCTATAATTACGATTAAATGGGTTTAACTTTGTGGATGATGGTTACTCATATAATCAACTTATTAGCTGTTATTCTAATTTGCGAAAAATCACCTTTTTTTTTTTTTTACTCTGAATCTCTCTCTTTAATGACCATTTTAAATCACCAATTTATTAAATCAACAATTTCGACACGTAAACCTTAATCCAATATTTTTCGACATGTAAACAGTAAACCAATGAAAAACTTGAATCGAACTGTAATTAACAATCTATAAGAATTTTTGGGCTGCAATTGTCAAATTTTTCCTATTTAAAAAATGAATAAATAAATAAAACTTTTTTAAAAATAAATTTTCAAGGTGACGTGACGGACTTAAGAAGGTAGAATTGTAATGATACTACAGCTTAGTGAAAGAAATGAGAGAAACGGGTCCACGCCTATAAGAACGATAGAAGGTAGTTAATAAGGGCGCATTTTGCAAAGTGCCAAAATTTCGCCATCTATTGTTAGAAGACTTAGTACCACTTACATTATATATTCGTACAAGCAATTAGTGAAAGTTTAATGCAATGATAACCAGTTGATCCAAATCCTAGATATTTATTATCTTTATATTAAAAATGCCATATGAAAATCAATCTCATAACACTTGTAGATCCCCCAAATAACCTAGTTATTATAATGGTGTATAGAATACTCGAACCTAGTTAAAATCTTACTATAATTGTTCCTTTCGATGAAAATAATAGTCACTTACGATCATTGTGAAATTTAAGTTTATCATAATTGTTTTATTTTCAAAACCTTTACGCTAATTGGATCCTTCCCATCCATAAAACGATGAAATCAATGACCGTCTTTCTTCATACCTAATAAAACATACGGTGTATGTATGTCCGAATATTGTTAACATAATATCAAAGTCGAGTAAGAAGGTAAGAGTAGACATACAGAAAGTTCAACAAATCCGAAGATGAGCATGGTCCAAAAGCTGCCGAGATAAGAATCGGAGAGGTAGCCGCCAAAGAGAGCGAGAAGGAAAATGGTGCCAATAAAATTTGTAACTATGTTGGCTGCCTTTGAAAGCGGGAAATGCATCTCATTTATCACATATGTTATTAAATTGTTTCCCACTGCCGCTATTGCCATTATCTCAAACGCTTGTAATCCTGCAATTTTTTAGAAATACAAACAACTTTTTAGTTCTTATCAATGTTCCATCTTCTGCTCTAAGAATAATAATATCACCAATTAATTTGTAACAATAATATAAACAGGATCTGATCTCATCATTTCTTAGATATCACATCAAAAAATTTTACCAAGTTAAATTACATTTGCTTTTGCTTATTAATTTTTAAAGCAAGTAATTGTAACTTATTTTACGCATGCCTACATACTCTACTACTCTAGGCTTTTCTGTCTTTCAATGGGAAAATTACTTGGTTCATTATAATTTCTTTTAATCATCGTAATATTGCTACCTGAGCAGCCAATTTTGGTAATACTTAAATTCGTATTAAAAAAATTAAATTTGGTGCCTTAATTATTATACTTATGGACTTATTACATAAGAAAAGCTTCAGGTTGTTTAATTTTTTTATTTATTTTTGGAAACCTGAGGTTGTTTAATTTTTTTTTTTTGACGGAAGTGGTTGTTTAACTTTATGTCATGCTCAAACAAAAAACGCTCCTTATTAATTCTTCCAAGGTGTAAATAGATTAGTCCTTCATATAAAACAACTTTAAAGACAAAAGGCATTTTCCTTTTTAATTATTTTGGGTTATACTAAGCCATACAAAATAACAAAATATTGGTGGGGGTGGATTTATTTGAATTTTATTTTTGGTCCGACACGATCTTATAGACCTCGCTTATTATAAAGTAAATAATTTGTGAAAGTTAGCTGTTCAAACCTTGTTAAATTCTCATGGTATAATCCAATCAGAAATCTTGCGTGAACCTAATTCACAATAATATTATTGTGGACCTTAGGTTTATACACACGTAATTGACATTATATTCAATATAGTGACCCCTAGTTTTAATATAGTAACCTTATTTTTAATATAGTAACCTTTTTTTTTTAAATTTGTGTGTCTTTAATGTTATTATGAAGTTAAAGTACGACACTATGTTGAATAGTGGTCTAATTTTTACATAATGATTTTTATTATTCATATAATCATATTGACCATTATTCTAAAAATTTCATTAAAAAATTAACCTCTTATAGCTTTTATAATATCATACTAACTTTTATTTCAACATAATAACCTTTGTTTTAATATAGTGACCTTTATTTTTTACAATCATATTGTCTCTAATGTTGGTGGTCCACAATAAATTAATGTGAACCAAGTTCATTTAAGAATTTGTATAATCCAATGTAATCCATTAAATAAGGAATCAAATACTGTAGTACTCCGTAATTTTTGGCATAATAGTTGTCTATACAGTAATTATCATTTTTTTTCCTTTTTATTTGAATAGCTATAAAGTAATTATCATAATCATCTCTAATCTTGATACTCCCTCTATTTCATAATTAAAAAATTATTTTTCTTTTTTAGTTTTTACAAAAATCAAGAAAGTTGGTTGGAGTACAAATATGTACATGTGATTAAAGAGAGATGGAGAGAAGAAAAAGGGGTTAAAAACTATTGAAAAGATGGAGAGAAAATGTTAGAAATTGAGGTAAAAAAAAAATAATCATAAAAAACACACGTATTATTGTCAAAAAGTACTATCTAAAAATAAAAACATGCTTCTAATTTTAAACACCCACAAAGAAAAAGAAAACAGACTTTTAAATATAAAACAGAGAAAGTTTTTTTGCAAATTTTATTTTATTTTTTTTTTTTTTTTACACTAGCTATTAGCTGCATATAATTGTGAGTAGCCTCTATTCGAAAGTGACACATTAGTTTTTCATATACAATGAAAAACATGGAAAGATGAAATTAAAAAAATTACTTGAATTGAATTTCTTCTATTAATATATACTCCGTATCTATTGACATTTTGATGTGCTTTTACAAGATGATTGTACGGACTATTACATTAGCTCGTTCACTTTTCTTTTTTTAGCATATATCTACACCTTATCTTTCATTTTGCTTTATCTATTTTTGTCACACTCACATGCCTCTATTTCCATTTCCATAATATTGCAACATAAATGATGGGGATACGAATAAATATATAGACCCACGTGATGAGGGGATAGAAATCGTAAAAAAAAAAGTTGCAAACAGGAAAATGTTGCAATATTTATGAAATTTCTTAAAATAACAATTGTTACAATATTTGTGAAACGGTGGAAAGTATATATTGCATTTTATACATGTGTTTACCGTCATTCACTTCTCTAGAAAGATTACACCATCCGTTTCAGAATATTCCTATTATACTGTGTAAATCGATACAAAATTTTACTCATCTTTGCCGCAAATATATTTAATCTCACACTAGCAAAAATTATAAAATATGATATAAATAATTTACTCATCAAGTCGAATCAAACTAGATCCACGTAGTTATATTTGTTCTTATAGGTTAAGAGAAATTTTGATATTTTTGCTTAAAAAAAAGTCAAATATTACAAACAAGAACATCATTGAGAAACGGGAGTAGTTTACGACTCCGCATAACGTTAAATATTTATTTTTTAAAAAAATAATAAATAAGTATATCACTATAATTTTAGATCAATACTGAAAAAGAAGAGATAAGTAAATATAGTAAAAATCTGAAAAATGATTAAGAGTTTAATATTATATTTGAGGAAGATAGGAAAAATACCAAGGACAAAGACAGCTGCCCGCATCCCACCATGTTTATTGAGATTAGAAGGTCTGCCTCTCCAATCAACAGTAGTACTTAAATTTTCATCAATAATCATCCCTGATTCTCCATTATTCTTGTTACTCTGCACTGATTTTCCCCTCTCTAATTCCATTTTTGTCTTTCGTATATATATTTCTCTAGCTAAGTAATAGAAATATTATTTATAAAGCAATATAAAATGTTGCGCAATAAAACAATAGTTAGGAGAGAGAGCACATGAAGAATGAGGGGGGTGTGGGTTTCAGTGTATTTTTTGTTTTGATGTTTTAATTGAGAATCAGTGAAAAGTAAGGAGGGAGAGTTTTGAGTGAAGGACAGAGTTTGTGGGTTGGTCCATTATTTATAGATAGAGTTTTCGTAAGGAGGGGAATGAATACTCCTAAAATAATATAATATTTAATAATGGAAAAGAAAAGGACTGTTGGTTGAAAAATGATGTCACGATTTTTACTGTAAATCGTCAGAGAAACAAGTATGGTACAAATGCTAGTTGTTTCCGGACTTATAAGTCAATGGAAATAGTAGAACCATTAACGGAACTTGACTCATATATACTCCGTGTTTCGGTCGTGTTTTTTTAATATTACACTTTCTTTTTTTGGCAAAAAACTACATTAAAATATTATATCTCACTCCTCTCATGGTCCCCACCTAAATTTATTAGTACATTTTTATTATATCTTTTCTCTCACATTCATTACTTTTCAATAAACTATTAACCCCACTATATTTCTTTTTCAATTTTATAATACTCCAACTACCCCACTTAACTCTTATTTTATTTAAATCAATTAAATTGCCTTAAAACTACGTGTCGGTCAAAGTGTAACACTTAAAAAAACACGGAGGGAGTATTATTTGTTGGCTAATATTTCCTCCGGTTTTAGTTGACACCGTTTGAGTTTTACACTATTTAGAGAACATATTTTTACTCGCTCTTGTGGTTTAAAGATACGATAAAACATATTGATGTGGGATCTTGTTTAAATTGTTTCAATGTATATTAGTGATTGGGGTTGTAGTGTTAGTCGTCAATCGGGGTGGCGGTGTCAATGTATTAGTGATTGGTGGCAAGAGGGAAGATATTGGTGAAGTACTAAGGGTATGGTTGTCCATTCACACTACATGTTGGCGATTTTGATTATTTTGGATGGCGGTATTACTTTTTATAATTTTACAATGTTGATAATTCGAGATATTAATTGTTAAAAACATGTGTTGGCAAGCTTGATAATAGAAATGTGTCAACTAAAAAAACTAAGAAAGTACGTTTTTTGTTTTGGATGATACTCCCTTCGTTTTTTTTAAAATGCATCACTTTGATTTTTACACTATTTACATACAATGGTTCACTTAACTTTTTACCTCTATAAAATAAATAAATTTTAATAGATAATATATCACTAGATTAGTCCTAATATCTAGTTTCATAATATTATTTTATTATAATGTTTTACTAATATACAATTAAAGATATTAATGGTTAAAATTGCGTCTTGGCAAATGTTCTAGTCAAACTAATGCAAAAAAAAAATTAAAAAAAAATAATAAATAAATAAAACAGAGGGAGTATATTCCTTTTGTGGGCTGATATGTTTTTTAGTGTTGATATGTTCCTTATGTTGGATGCTATTAGACATTAATTGACTAATATGTTTCTTTATTACCTGTCACTTCTCCTATCTTTTAACCCTCTACTCATCATATAAATGGGTCATAGTAGGGCCAACTAAAGATAAGCCAAACACAAATACAAAAGTACGAATCAGCAAAAGCCGAGTACATATGCACCACACTATCATAAATATCCAATAATCAATAAAAATAATTAAAACATTCTCGCCATACAATCACAAGTCAACTTACCTTTGGCTCATAACTAGCAATATTACGGAGTAGTTCTTAAGTAATAGATTTGGATTAAGCCATCAAATGAGTTTCCTTCTTTATTAAAAATTGCCCATTTAAAATGGATCTTCCAATTATGGAGCTACCCCAATTTACAAAATTACATAACGGCTCGCAGTTCGTACTTACTATCCTAATCGGGCCCCACTAGTTTTCATTTCGTAACACCTGTGATAGAATATACATTTCATTCATCCATTCAATATATGTGAATGGTCTATGCATTTCATAATGAAAAATAGTAATAATGCAATAATACGGGTAATCTAGTAACTAACTTAGGCCTAATTAAAACCAGTCAAAGTTGTTAACCAATTATGTAATTAAACGCAATAAAATAGCTCAAGTAAATAATGAAGCTCCCACTAAATTCCGCATCGAACTTAATTAATCCAATTAGTTAAGCCGGTAAACCAAAATTTTGCCATATAAATTTGCAAGTGCTGGGAAAAACCAAGGCTTACCCTCATTTTTATTAAAATTATTAAACAGCTAAATAGATAATTTATAGCGGCAAAAGCGGAAAAAACTGACACGGAATAAACGCGTCGTCAAATGCCTATCCCTAGATCAAATACAATTTATATAAGTATAAGGCAAGCATTTCGGTCGAACCACAAGGAACGAATAAACACCACCAAATGTTATCAACAACTAAGCTAGTCCGGAATAAGTGATAAGTAAACTAATGTCTAAAGATGCTAAAACAAGAAATAAAATACTAGGGGAAACGGTTTAGGTATAGCATTCACTTAATTATAAACAAAGGCATAGAAGTTGAATTAATCATGAACAAAACATGCTCAAATATCGAAGTAAGGGATCCAATCTAGCCACTTGTCGGGGTCAATTGGCTTCTCCTAACATAGCCTTTATGTTGTCACATTAGAGCCATATAATAGGAGGTGCAATCAAATAACAATTGATACAAATGAATGTTGCTAGGTCCGCTATCGCATCATCAAGCAATAATTCACCCTCAATCAACTAACAACATGCATTTTGCAAGTAGATTGAAGAACATCAAACATTTAAAGACTTTAATTACAAACAAATCAACTCCAAACTCTAAAATATGCTCAAACCACAACCATCCCCTTAATGGGGGAAATTACTCACTAATCATACCAACTATTTCGGGATTTTTTTGGAATCCCTCGGGACACTGGTCACTTATTGCCGGTAACGAGACTTGGACACCTGCAAAACAACGAATATTTCGTTACCGGAATATTCACCTCCGACAATTAAGTTAGTAACCAAAAAACAGAAAGGCTAGAGAGAGAAAGTAGAGAGAAGCTGGAGCTTTTAGTGCTCTATTAATTGTTATGTCACAATCCACCACTCCCATCATAAATGATTAGGGTATTAATAGGGGGTGGGAATTTGTGCCTTTTTAGAGTTTGTGCCCTAAATTTCCATGTCCTAATTGGATGCGCAATCATGTATTGACACATTAAAGGACATGTATGCCTGTACGGTGGGTCACACGACCTTGGGCTACATGAATGAAAGCATGGATAAGTACAAGGCATTTCTCCAGCTGGGAGAAGGATTTGAACTTGTGGCCCCGAAAAGGTCTCTTTCGGTGGCCGCCTAGGAGGATGAGCAGTCGTGCTGCAGATCATTCAGCGTTTATCAAGCCCCATAGACGTTAGACTCTGCTTCCCCCATCATCTCTTTATTCGTACGGTCTTGGACAAGTACGATATTGCTCTTTTCAAGCTGATGCCGAACAGCTGGTTAAACATATATAGGTACTTGGTGACGTGCATTTGGAAATTCTTCAAGCTGGACTTTCCTTATTTTTGCGAGATGCACGCAATGACCCTCTTGGAGAAGCACACGAACGACTAGTTCATACTTTGCACCACAAGAGATTATATGGTGGTGATGGACCATGTGTAAAAATGGAGGGACTAGAAGAGCCGATTCTACCGCTTCAAAACAAAGGACGCGGAGTTCAATATGCGAATGAATCAGTTCAACGCCAAGCCAATCCAGCTCGGTCGAGGGGATCACAAACCATACAAACCACCCGACCACCCTAGCCAAGCTCACTAACTTGACTACTTCAAGGTCAAGAGGGTTAGAAGGGACGAAAAATTGGTGGTCGTGCCCTAGAACTAGATCCCCTTGGCCAACTGGCTTGGGGACCCAATTTTTATGTCCGCATGCGGCTTGTACAAGAACTTTCCCCAAGGTGGGGCTTTAACACATTCTGACATCCGAATACTTTTCTTTTTGTAAATTTTTCTAACTGTTTTTCAAATTTTCTTTCTTTTTGTAGAGGAAGCGTACGCCATGCTGGACAAGGAGCAGAAGGGGGAGATCGATATGTCCGAGATCGATCTTGCTCAGTACAAGGCTCAGCAATGAGCGTACGAGCAGACCAAGGAGGTACGAACCATCTGTCTCTCTTTTCTTTCTTTCTTTTTTTTTATCCTTTGCCAAGCTGGTATGTTGGGAGGAGACTCCTTTCACTTTTCGCACGGACACTTCTTTGCCTCCGTGTTGGTATGTTTGGAAGAGACTCCTTCCCTTTTTTGCGCGGACGCTGACTTATTTAGTATCTTCTTGTACTAACTTCTTTCTTTCTTGCCTTTTTCAGTTGTCTACTCCTACCCCAAGGGCGAAGCAGAAGGCGTCGACCACTTCTTCTAAGAACAAGGCATCCAAGACCAGGAATTCAGTCGTGTCTATGACTCCTTAAGACCTTGCGGCTAAAACAACATCGCGGATCTGAAAACGATACCGAGTGGGGACTCCAAGTCTGTGGAACTAAAAACGAGGTCGGTCCACGAACGAAAGCGCTGTTCAAAGGGTCGAGAAGTCAGACTGGCAAGCGGCTGCCGATCATAAAACTAAAGAAGCAACCGGCCACACGGGTGAAGAGGAATAAGAACCTCGGTCTCCTTCTGCCTTCACCTTCAATCTTCCTTCTCCTCCCAGATTCTCAACTGGTTAGTAAAAAATTTCACACTTGTGTTTTCTTGGAAGCTTTTTATTGATTTGATTTAATAATTTTTGCGGGCGTGTGCAGACATTGCGGAGAAGATGAGAATGAAGCTTCCCGGTCAGTCGCTGACTAGTGCGGATAGGAAAGCCATGAGGGAAGACATGGAGAGGGCCGTCCCTCAGGAGAGAGTATAAGGACAAGCTAAGGGGAATCAACGGGGGCTTCCTCGGCCGAATGACTAACTGCAGCGCCAAGGTCGTGACTGTTTGCCACTTTAGCTTTCATACTTAGAAATTATTTCTCAATTGGCTTTTACTAACAACTCTTTGTCCTGGTGCAACTCTTTCTCAAGCTCATGACCTTCTTGAAATGGAAGGAGAAAGAGAGCGAACGGCTGAAGACGGCTTGGGCCGAGGTTAGGAAAGGTCAAGATGCAGTCACTGGGATGACCTCCATTTAGAGGGTTCATCTGGAGACCCGAATAACCGCGTTGTCCGAAAAAGCGGTGCGGCAGGCTGAGGATCCAGTGAAGTTGGGCAAGGCTCTTGAAAAAGAG